AGGTCTGAAGTCCATGTTGCCGCGTGCTCGGACGAAGGCGAGGATGCCAGAGAGACGTCGGCTGGTGGTGGGCGATGTCTCGCACAGCGCAGGCCGTGCCGGGCTGGTGTGGGGACTACCTGAAGCAGCTGGAGGCGCAGGCCGATCTAGGCGGGGCGCCATACCCCATTGCTTGGACTGTGCGGTATGCAAGTATCTCAATATGTGTAGTCCTTGGACCCCAGCATCCGCTGAGAGATATTGTTGCTCATCGAAGGAGGGTGGGTGTATAGGGAAAAAACGACGGGAAGAATGTGAGTGGAGAGCCAGGGATGGACTACTCGAAGGATCGTTCTGACACTGGCGCTGGACGTGCAGAGGGATAGGCCTTGATATACTTCATAAAGGTGCTTGCCGGGAGGAAGCGGAGCGGCAGGCATAACTTCCTCGATTCGCAGTTGTTTGTCCCATGTCAGCAATGTTGTAGCCTATGTGTTCCCTCTGTCGTCATTAACGTGCGTTGCCCTTTGTGCCTAGCTGACCAGTGGTGACTCAGGGGTACTGATGACACGCCCTCTGTTTACGACGTCGCTGGGTCAACCACGCTGTCGAGGTCGCAGGGAACCCTGACAGGATTTGGCCGAGTCTCGAGAGCTATCGAGAAGAACCTGCAGAGCTTGGGCAGCAACGTCTGCTCTACGGCTGGATAACCTCACACTCTCGCAATCGTCGGAATTCTGATAGGATGACCGCGAGATTGCTAGGGGATGGCCCCGAGAGCTTGAACGGTAAAGGCGATCACATGTCAGTGATGGCCTCGTTTGCCCCGAAGAATACCCCGCTGCCTGCGGCAACTCCGCGCCAGCGCAGCAGGGCAGCGTTAAGGAAGTCCAGTTCAAGACGCAGATTGAAGCGTCTCTGGCTGGGGCCTCCTGAGAGCCTTTCTAGAGCCTTTGAGGCCCGTTTGGGAGGCAGCTGGTGATCTGTATGGGGGACCTCTGGGACCCTGGGAGGCCTCTTGGGGGTCGGTTGGTCCTCTCGGAGGTGTCTTGGGGGCTTCTGGGGGCCTTTTATGTGGCTTCTTGGGGGCATGTTGGGAGCCTTGAAGGCACTCCTGCAGGATTCCCCCTCTTGGGGCCTTCTTGGGAGCCTCTTGGGCCGTCTTGAGGGGCATTTGGGGTCGTCTCTGGCTTCCATTGGAGCCCCCCAGGGCCGTCTTCGGGCCCTCTCGGGACACTGTCTAGTTGTCTTGGAGCCCTCTTAGGGGACATTTTGGGCCGTCTGGCGCTGTCGGAAGCCTGAAAGGGCCAGCATGTGGAAATCTGTCAAACCAACATGAGGAAAAGCGATGAGTTTTGCCCTCAAGGGCCTCTTGGGCGTCCTCTTGGAGCGCTGTCAGGCCATCTCGGGGTGTTCTGGAGCTTTCTTGAGGCAACCTTGGCCATCCTGAGGCCCTTATGGAGCGTCTGGACGCCTTCTTGGGCAGTCTTGGGACCACGATGGAGGCCTTTCGACAGTCTTGGGGCGAGCTTACGTAGCTGTTTGGGCTGTTTTTGGGCGTTGTTTTTGTTGTCTGGGATGTTTTTGGGTTGTCGTTTTGGCTGTTTGGGCTGCTGTTGGATGTTTCGACCCCATCGGCTAGGGTTTCTTTCCAGCCAGAGCGTTACCAAGCATTGTTTTAGAATGGCAAATGTCCCAGCATCGGCTCCAGAGAGGGGGGAGGGGGTCTCACTCTGGTAGCGATGAAGGGATCGGCTCGACGCCTTACCCTTACAGCAAGGGGCGTTCCGACACGCCCCAACGTGCACAAGGCACGGCGGCGGATGTGTGGACGCCTTCTTGCCAAAACAGCTCCAAACACATGTGCATGTGATCATTTGTTGATTAATCGTTTTGCCGATCGGCACGGGCCCCAAACTCCCCTCCCACCCCCCATGGAGTAGATCTTGGCTGTGTTTGGCGCCTGTTTCGAGCAGGTGGAGTCCCTACCCCACAGGACGCACGGTTCCAAACAGTTGCACTAAGCAGAGGTCCGGAGCCAGACCCCCCCCCCCTCCCCCCACCCTTCCGCCCAATGGTCGAAATGCCGAATAAAAAACGCTCACCATCATTGAATCATCGTGATTGGAAGCTGCTGGGTCCCCGGATGGCCCCCAGCACATTTCGCGTAAAACGCAAAGTGCCCAAGCATGGTGTTGTCGACCGCCATTGCAGGCTCCTGGCACCCCAGATCAAGCGCATGGCGAGGCTGGCCCCTCTGGCAGCACTTCTTCGCACAGATCCTTCGGCGGGTGGGAAAGGAAAGGCATCCGTGCTGCCCAGCAGCAGAGGCAGGCGGAAGAGAAGGACGGTGGGAGGAGGAGAATTTGGGGGGCGGGAGCCTGGGGCCTCAGTGAGACGCGGGATGAGCTTGGGGCCACGGCGGCGCAGCCAACCGCTCCGAGACCCCGACTCCATCTTCGGCTGCCGCGTGCCGCGCTGCGTCCTCGAGGACATCTTCCTGGACTCGCACTACGAGCAGGTCCGCGGGCGGGGGCGCCTCGCTTCGTGCGGGGCCAGGCGGATACTTCTACAGTGGAAACCCATGCCAACAAACACCCTGCTAGCCTCCAGGGCGCCCTTGGTTTCTTGGGTCTCGATGGTTTTGCTACGGAACTCGCGACGTTCCCACACCCAAGATCAATGGACGTCCTGGGGTCTCAGGGTTGGGTTTCTTGTGGAAGATTTTATGTGGTCGAGCTCCTACAGTATTGCGTATGATGCTGCTTGACTGTTGTGACGCCGTGCTTTCTGTGCGCGGATGTTCGGTGCGTGTTGTGATTACGCTGCTCTGCCTCGCTTCGCGCTGCGCCGCTGTTCCAACTGTGAGCGTGCTGCTCTGCGCCGTGCTGCGCTGCCGGATGCTTTGCGTCGGTCTGCCTTGACCTGCAACACGTCGCTTCATGATGCTGATATGCATCGCCTTGCTTCATGTTGCTTCACGTTGCTCGGCACAATCGCACCCCTACATTTTGCGCTTCGGATTCCAGCAGGGCCCATGTTGCGGCGCGGGACCGTTCACGGCAGGCCTAATGTTGACTTCGTGGGCCTTGGTGATGTTGTTGGTCTAGATTCTGCCGACAGCAAAGCCAAAGGCAGGCCGACTTAGGTTCTCGAGGGCAAACTCCGGCATTATCATTGAGATTCGCCCGACTAGGACAGTTGCTGTTTGATTTTTTGGTCGAGTTAACCAAAAGGATGGGGAGGTCCACGGTGGAGAAGGGAGAAGCGAAGGAGGGAACGGGCATTGCCCAAGGTAGAGATTGAAGACATGATTTACGCTTCACGTGCCCACTCCAGCTCACCCAGTGGCCATTATCATGGTACCCCGGTTTTTCTCAGAGGATATATATATATATATATATATATATAACACAGCACCGTCTTGGGATCCGTGGGGGGGTAAAAGGGGGTGGTCCATCCTCTTGTGACCGATCTCCAGAATTTATGTATTAGGTTTAGCATTTGTGATCTTCCCTTGTCGATCTACCGAGTTGCAGAGTGTGCTCGGTGAACTGTTACCCTCTTTTGGCTCAAGCCCAAAAACGTTCATCCAATCCTGTGCTGCCACAGTTGGTAGCGGAGCGCGGTGTCGCTCGGGGTGCCATGGGCGCTAGCCAGGTCCGCGTCTGAGAGGTGCGACCGGCCGGCACTCGCGTGCTCCCGAGCGGTCGCTGCGCTCGGCCGACTGCGACGCGTGGAGATCCACGGTGGACGCCATGGCGGGCGTCGAAGAGGCTACAGAGAAGGGGGCCGACCTACACGTGAGCGCGGGGACTGACGAAGCTGCAGTGACTAGGGGCGAGCTCAGGGGACTCATCGGGGACATCGTCAGGGCGGCGATGCAGGAGCAGTCCGCGAGCTCGAGCGCTGCAGCAGCGACCAGTTCCGCGACCGCCGGCAAGCAGAACGAGAAGGGCGAGGATCCTTGGCAGGCTTCGGATCCTTGGGATGCCGGCGGCGGTGAGAGTTGGCAGAGTCGGTGGTGGCAGGCCGACTCGAAGGCCAGCTGGGAGGATCGGCAGCCCGATCCGAAGGACAGCTGGCAGAAGGAGTCAGGCTGGTCTCACGACTCGGCCTGGGGCCGCGGGCCAGGTGGCCGGTCTGAGCAGACCGGCTGGTCCGGCGGCTGGGGCGGCGGCGGTGCCTGGACGAGGGGGGACTACACCGACCCTCCTGCATGGCCAGGCTGGTCACACTTCCGGGCGTGGAAGAAGTCGCTCAGACGTTGGAACTCGAACACAGACGTCCCGGTCTGGCGCCGCTCCGAGAAATTCCTTCGTTTGTTCGACTGGGTTTTCCAGGCGAAGTTCGAGGACATCCAGGAGCATCGCTTGGCAGACGACGGCTGGATAGACATCGTGCTCGGCCGCATGGACACCATGGCCGGCGAGCGCGAGGGAGACGACCTTCGTCGAGCGGGTCGTCGGGCCTTTTTTGAAGCCAATCGCGAGCCGAAGGAATCGCTCATCCAGTTCGTCATTCGTCGGGATGCTCAGATGCAAGAGGCAGAAGGGCACGACTTCTGGATGTCGTCCAAGCTGAAGGGCCTTCTCTTAGAGGAGGGCGCCTGCCTGTCAGCCCAGGGGCTCCAGAACTTGAGGACGCTCACTCTCGGGAAGCTGGACTACGAGAACGTCTCGTGGGCGCTCAAGCAGATGGACTCCGGCGGCACGGAGCGTTTGCTCCCGGGGCGTGGCGCCGGGGCGATGCTGGCTGACGCGACCGCTCCTGAGGGCCTAGGTGCTCGTGAGGTGTCGCCTGATTTTCAGCCTTCCCTCCTCCCTCCTCCTCCCCCGTGGTCGCAGGGTCGGTCCGAGGGTGCCGGCGACTTCCCGGCGGAGGACGAGGAGACGTATTACGACGAGGATGACGAGGAGGAGGCCTCGGACGAGGAAGACATCGAAGCCCTCTTGGCCGAGCTCGACGACCTCGACGCGTCAGAGGACCAGGTGGGCGAGGTGCTCGCGACCCTCGAGGCCAAGAATACCCGGACCTGGAAGCAGAACAAGGAGCTGAAGCGCGCTGCCCGGCAAGACCGGGAGTACTTTCGACCCGAGTCCAGGGCGCCTCGACCTCCGCGAGCACATCCTGCAGGTCGTCCAGGGCGGGGAGGAGGCCGCGGCGACGGAGCTGGTGGCCGGGGCAGTCCCGCCCGTGGCGGTCGCGGGCTTGACCGCCGGCGACTCACGAGAGAGCAATTGATCAAGGTGACGCGCTGCGGCATCTGCAAGCAGAAGGGCCACTGGCACAGGGAGTGCCCGGAGAAGGACGGGCCCAAGGATCGCCGAGCTGTGAAGGATCACGGCCGAGGCGCGTCCGCGCACATGTTCTCGGGCATCGTCGGCGAGGCCGGTGGCTCGGAGTTCGTGGCGACGGTGGACGCGAGCGCGGACATCCTCCCGGCCTGGGAGCAGGCGCAGCTGGAGATCGAGTCGAGCGCTGTCCTTCTCACCACGTCCGCCACCCAGGGGCTCGTCGACCCGGGTGCCGGCGGCGACCTCGCGGGGGTCGGCGCGCTCAATCGCGAGTCCCGCGCTCTGGCCGAGCTCGGGCTGAGGTACGTCGAGATACCCTTGGCTGATCGCCCACTCAAGGCGGCCCATGGAGTCGGAAGAGCTGCGCGGGTGATCAATGTCATCCTTTTTCCACTTTGCCTAGGTCAGACTTTTGGCATCATAGAAACCACGGTGTTGGCGGACAACGTTCCGCACATTCTCAGCGTGAATCTTTTAGAGTTTCTCGAGGCCGCCATCGATCTGCCCAGGAACAGCATGCAACTCCAGCGCCTAGGTCTGAAGGTGCCTCTCTGCCGCCTCAATTCAGGCCACCGCCTCGCAGAGATAGTGGGTCCTGTCGACCAGGAGGCAGTGGTACCAGCAGCAGCGATTAAGAAGTATCATTTCTTGCGTGCCGATTCGTTTCAGACTGCAGCGGGACAGTTTCCAGAGATGTCGGATGTTGGAGTCGTGACCGGTTACGCCCCTCTCCTCCTCATCCTCGTCTTGCTGCTCATGCTGCTGCGGCGGGTTATGAGGGGGAGCTCAAGGGCTAGGACTAGGACTCAGAGGGCGTCTGGAGCCAGGACTCAGAGCACCAGGTCGATCGTCTCCTCCAGGAACCAGGCCGACTTCGGACCGAAGTACCAGCTCGACGATTCGAGGGCGCCCCTCTAGTCATGGGCCCAGCCGGGCCCGGGTCGGGCCCCAGGATCCGGTAGGCAAGCTAAGGTGCCGAGGCCGAGGAGGTCTTCGAGTGCGAGGGTTCCGGGGTGCCGAGGGAGCTGGACTGGGCCGACCGTTCTCGTGGTAACAATGGTTGTAGTCGTCATCTCCGTAGCCCACCTCGGCTCAAGTCTAGCTCTCCTTGCGTTAGCTCTCTCAGTTCACGAACTGCTACTGGCCCGGCGGCGGCGCCTGGCCAGACTCGATGGCCCTCGGCGCGCTGCCCCTGGCGTGGCTGGCGGTGCACCCCGTGCTCGGTGGAAAGAAGAAGGGAGAGTACGGAACGTCGAGCAAGGGAAACCAGGGAGCGTGGGAGGCCACCCAGGCCTTCTTGCGGGCACGCCAGTCTCGCTTCAACGGGGAGCGTGCTCCCCGCGAGCCCGACTCGGACGGCTACGTTTGGGACGAGCCGTCAGCAGAGGCAGCAGCGGCGGCGACAGTCGAGAGCGACGCCTTGGAGGCGGCGGCGCTGCAGGCTCAGATCCAAGCGGAGGCGGACCAGGCGGACCGCGGGCCACCTATCGGAGGCGCATCGTCCTCGGGAAGCGGTCGGACGACGGGCTACTCGACCTGGCAGGGCCACCCGGGATCTCAGCCGCCCTTGCCTCCGGAACCACCTCCAGGGCATACCGGCCCATACCCAATTGTGGTAGACCCGATGGTCATTCCCCAGGCGGCAGCGGCAGCAGCAGCTGCGGCAGCGCCTCCAGCAGTCCAGCAAGCAGCGATCAACACTCCGGTGGTGTCAGCTCCGCCACCCGCGAAGCCTCCTCCAGCGACGATGCACATGCGGGGCACTCCGGCTCTGGCATCTCAAGGGCCACCCGATCCCACCGGACAGAGTTTCGCTTTCTCGAAGCATGCACTCGGAGCTGGACGTCAGGCGGCGATGCCGGGATCGGCTCCTCTGACGGGGCCCGCGGCCGGCAAGCCACCGCCCAAGCCGCTGGGATCGGCTCCTCTGACAGGGCCCGCGGCCGGCAAGCCACCGCCCAAGCCGCTGGCACCGACTCCCGAGCCGTCGATTCCGATGAAGCCTCCTCCTGTTCCAGCAGGCGAGTGCGATCACCCGGAGTCGTGCATCCGATGCTACGGAAACCAGCACGGGTCAGGCTCGAGGTGCACCCGATGCCAGACTCGACTGGCGTGGGTCCCCCGCGGCCAGGGGGCAGCGGCCGGCCAGGGCCCGCCGCAGTCAGCTGCCGAGGCGGCTCGGTCTGCGGCGGCATCGGCGCGGCGTGCTGTCAACATCCTGCAG